GGGGGGGGGTTAGCCAGGGTATCTTTATTTTGAGCGCTGTTTTTCTGTGCGTCCGCAAGGAAGCAGCTCATGTCCTAAATCCCGAGCGAGTTTCTGAAGTTAGAGTGGCGCTCCAGAGCCTATGGGAACTGCGACTTGCTACCACAGCTGCCAAAAAACCATATGGGTGGTTGTCAAAATTACAGTCCCTTTTTGGTTCCCCATTATAATACGGCACTAAATATTAGGGTACCCAAAAAGGGGCCATAATTTTCACAACCACCCATATGTCCCTAGCAGTTCTAGCACCCATCTTTGAGATACACCTCAGCCTCAAATCCCAACCCTAACCTGAAAGCCGTGGAGCCACAAAGGGCACCCTTAAGGGCTCTAGTTCTTTCTTTGAAAGCCCGGACCTCCATACCGCCCAGCAGTCCGGGATTGGCTCTTCATCGACCCCACCGCAGGATCTTCAGTGAAGGCCCTAAACCCTAAACCTTAAACCCTAAACCCTGAGCTGGATCTCTCTACCTGTATCATCTTGGGCCTCAAGTCCAAGGCTCAGATCCGTCAAATCTTGAGACCTAAAGAAGGTTTATGGTTCGGGGTTTAGGGTTTAGGGTTTAGGGTTTCTGGTTGGGGGTTTAGGGTTTAGGGTTACTTTTTAGGTTTTAGGGTGACCTAATCTTTGAAGCCCTGGGAAGTGCTACACGGTTTTGTTAACTGTTGTGCTACACCGCGTAAAGCTCTACAGAGCCCAAACCCTAGACAACGCCTACACCCAAAACCGCCAACCCCAACCCTAAACCCTAATCCCGAAACCCAAAGCCTTAATCCCTAAACCGCGAGGACCAGGCCCTGGGCGGAGTTGTTGGGACAGCTGTCTCAGGCAAGAAGACCATGGGAACCAAGGCCAGCCGCTACAGCGGCTTCGGGGGGGGTTTAGGTGGGGCTTTGGGGATTAGGGTTTAGGGATCAGGGTATAGGGTTTAGGGATTAGGGTTTAGGGTGTAGGGATTAGGGTTTAGGGTGTAGGGATTAGGGTTTAGGGATCAGGGATTAGGGTTTAAGGCATCGGGTTTCAGGGTTTAGGGTTTCATGGTTTCGGGTTTAAGCTTTAGGATTTAGGGTTTGAAGGTATTCAGGCTTTCAGGGTAGAGGATCAAATAAGGATAGTCACATGAAATTTGAAATCGACAATGAAATGGCAACCGCTGTTGAGGGTCGGGGATTTAGGGGTTAGGGTGTGTTTTGGGGTTTGTGGTCTAGGGCTTTGGGGTCTAGAGTTTAGGGTTCTATAGCAGTTGATGCGGCAAACCCCAGACCCTTCACCCGAAATCCGAATCCCAAAGCTCTATGCATGAACTTTTTATGAGGAGATCATCAGGTTGCTTTGAGAGCACGATTTTTTTAATGGGTGCAGTATAGTCCCTACGGTTCAGGGTTTAGGGCTTAAGGTTTAGGGTTTAGCATTTATAGCTTGGGGTTTAGGGCTTGAGGTTCGGTATTGTTTTCCATGAGCAGAATATACGCTATTTATTGAATGGGTCTAAATACCTACCAATAGTATGGTCCACATTTACTTGTATAAGCATAGTACAAGTTACCTCAAACTAACCGGAAAGCATTGGTGGTAATTATTCAGGCCCCAAGCGTAGGTCCAACCACCGAAAAAACAAACACGCACATCCTCAGCGTTTGGAGCAGCACACCCTGCAGCTCGAACAACCCTACATATACCTAAGCCCCTTGGAAAGCGAACCTACGGGTACCCCGATTGTTGAGAGCAACATGTCGTGCTTGATCTCAGAAGGCATGTTAGTGGTGTCTTGCAAGGTTTCATTAGTGTTTGTGGATGCCCCATCTTTCGCCGTGTTGTTCATGGGACGTGGGTAGTTCGACTAGCTCAAAGGATGATATGTCCTTCGGCTACTGAGAGGGCAATCCTGTGCGGAATGCAAACGTAATCAGCACGAGCACTGATGGAGCAACGTGTGGTGCTTGATCTCAGAAGGCATG